CCCATCACCACCAAAGGGAAGGTGGCTGGGACCTGAGGGTGGGGTTAAGCAGCCAGGTGGATACAAAAGGCAGACACGTGGGCTTTGGGGGCTCTCTCCATTTTGGGCTCTCGGCCAGCTTGCAGCATCCGGCCAGCTCTGAGAGTGACTTTGGGTTTCCAGGTCGTCGGATCGGGTAGGACGCATTAAAGACTTTATTTCCCCATTTTCTCCCTGAGTTGTACATTTTCCTTATTTCTTTTTCTCTTGTAAATAAACCTTTTATTAACCCTTTGGCGTGTGTCTCTAGTAGAGTATTCATAAGTCCCTTTAAAGCGCGCGGGTGAGGACCCACAGCCAGGAACCCGTTTAATATCAGGGTTGCTCTATAACAAGATGACAGCTCTCCATTGAGAAAACTGCCAATAATTACTGTCATCAGAAACTTCTGGACGTTCTCATGAAGCCGAAACTCCACTTGGCTCAAAACAACTCCGGTTTCACTGTCAGAATCATTCTCCTTAAACAAGGGGAAATGGAAGCTCCTTGACCTGTGACTCTGTTGACTGTCCAGTTTATGTTTCAGAGCCTTCCCGAGTGGCCGACTGACCTGGACACATTCTGCGGCGCTGAGAGGCTTGAGGGGCTCTGCACGCAGGGCCTGGGGGCAGCAAAACGCTGTTGCTTCCGTGGCCGCAGCCTGGGCCACCAGAGGGGCAGCAGCCCTGGTCCCATGGTGTAGGGCTCAGCCGCTCCCCTCCCGCCCACAGGGCTCCAGCAACCATCCCTTCCTCACGACACTTGGCCAGATCTGTTTAAATGTATGCTTTGTCTTTTTTTCTTTCCTTTTTTTTAAAAAGGTTTATTTATTTATTTGTTTATACATGCATTGGGGACAGTCAGAAGCGAGGGAGGGTGAGAGAATTCCCCAGAGCCAGAGCAGGGAGCAGAGCAGGCAGAAGGACCGAAGTACACTGCTGAGGGGAGCAGCGGGCGGCAGGAGAGGTCTGCACGCCATGTGGGACCCTCCTCCGGTGGCCGGGGAGCAGCTGGGGATTGAACTGGTGCTGCAGAGGCCGCGGGCACCTTCGCACCCAGCGCTCAACCGCTGCGCCACCGGAGAGGCCCCTTTTGGTACTTTTTCTGGATGCAGCAGATGGCTGACCCTTTCTAGAGCGGATATTTCAGGGGCTTTGCGGTCCCCCCTCCTGTAACAATAGGACTTCTTAAATTCCCAATTTCGACGTCACGCCCCCCAAGAAGAAGGAGGCAAGTGACAGACACAGAACCACCCCCGAACTCACTCCTCTCCACACTCTGACCGATGGCCGTCTCCAAGACCCCTGGGGAACCCCCGTGTCCGGTGGCACCAAAGGAGAAGCGCCCCGGGAGAGACGAGGGTGGCCCTCTGGCCCTCGCCTGCCCCCCCTACACCCTCTACCCCCTCTTACCTTATTTCAGTCTCTTCGCTCCCATCGGTCTTCTGCTGCTGTCTGTCTTCAGCAACCTTTATTTTCACAGCCCCCACCTCAGGTGTGCCCCGGAAGCACTCACACCCCTCCTCACAGGTGTCCACCGTCAGGCTGTGGACGGTGTCTTTCCTCCCAAACGCCCCTTTCTCTACCCCAGGTTTGCCACCAAGGTTTTCGGAGCAAACCCCCAAGGCAGCTGTCTTCTCTTACCCCTGCGTCCACACTGCCACGTGTTCTCTCTCCACAGCCTGCACCTGGCTTTCTCTTGGCGTCACCCCTGCCTCCAGGGCCCACCCAGGGGAGCTGCGCCCCTGAGCACTACCATGGACACAGCCGAAACGGGCTCCCTCCAGCCAGGGCACCCCGAAAGGTTTCATGAGCAGCTCATGTGCACGCGTCCCCCCCAGGTTCGCTCTAGATCGCCCCCACACCTCCGCTTCCTCCAGGGGGAGCCCCTGCTCAGTGTCCGACTCCGGCCTCCCCAGCAGGCGCGTGCGACTCGGGGCCTTCTCCCGGCTGCGGGCTCGGCGCAGGCCGCCCCCCACCCCCAACCCGGGGTGAGCACTCTGAGGTCTGAGACCCGCCGGTCTCTTGGGGGGACCCGCCCAGCCCCAGGGGTACTCACTGCCGTCCCCGCCGCACCAGGTTTCGTCCCCGCCCTGCGGGCGGCCCCTGCGCTCAGGCCGCCTTCGGCCGGGGGGCACCGCCCGCCCAGGAGAGCGCGCTCCCCGCGGGCCGCTCCGGGCGCCTCCCCGCCTTGGGCGCCCCCACAGGCCAGGGCCCCGCAGGGCCCCCCCGCGCCCGGAGGCTCCTCGGGCCCCGACCCTCCCTCTCCAGCCCACGGGCCGCGCCCCCAGGGGCCGCGAGGCGGCTCTGCTGCTCCCGGAGCCTCCGCAGCTGCGTCCCCCGTTCCGGGCTCCCGACCTGGGCGCCCGCTTTGGGCGCGTCTGGGCGGCTTCTTGAGACGCTCCCGCCGGCTGCGGAGAAGCTCCCCCCAGGCCGCTGCAGGCCGCCCCGACTGTCCTCTCCGGGGGCGCAGAGGATCCCCTCGCTCCCCCTCCCCGGGCGGGCGCCACGGAGAAGGCGTCCCCCGCCCCAGCCCCTGGCGTGCTCGGGGGTCCCCGCCGTCCGTGGCGGGGGCCCCGTCAGCGCCGGGCGAGCGGCTGGGGCGTCGGGCTCCTGCTCCCCCGCCGCTGCGCCTGCGCCTCGGCTCGGGGTCCTGGGCGGGCCCCGCGGCAGCTCCCCGCTCCGCTCCAGTCTCCGGCGGCCGCTCCCGGGCCGCGGCCGCCTCCTGGGGGTTCCCGGCGCCTCCAGGCTCGCCCTCCCCCCGCGGGCAGAGCTTCGAGGGACGCTCGCCCCAGACCTGCTCTGAGCGGGGCCCAAGTCCGTCGGCGGCCCCCGCCGTGCGCACCCCGCGCCCCGCTCCCGTCCCAGCCCTTCGGGGGCCGCGTTCCCGTAGGCGCCGGGTCCTGCCGCCCGGGCCGGCTCCGGGAGCTCCGGGCACACGGGCAGAGGGTCCCGGGGATCCGGGGGCTGACGGGGCCTTTCGCGTTCTCCCCGACAGCGCAGCCGGGCGCCCGGGGGCAGGGCGGGCAGGAGGCCCGGGCCCGGTGAACCCCGACTCTCCGCGCTCTCTGGGCGGGCCGGGGGCTGAGGGGCCGGGATGCGGGGCTGAAGTGGGGGGGCTCCAGGGGGGCCCGGGCATCTGGACGCTCTTGGGGCTCTCTCCGGCGTTCCCGCGGGGTCTGCTCCCGTCCCGGCCGCTGCGCGTCCTCTCTCGCCGCCGCTCTCGCTGGGGGCCCGAGCCCGCCCGGCCGCCGGGACGCCGCCTTATATGCTCCGCCCCCGCGCCCAGGGGTGCGCCCTCGCCCGCCCCGCGCCTCCCGCGCCCAGGGCCCAGGTGCTGCCGCAGAGGCCCCCGCGCCCGAGCAGAGCGGCGGCCTGGACGCCACAGACCCCCGCTCTAGCCCTGAGCCCCACCCCGGTGCGCGCCCCGGATCTGCTCGGAGCCGCCCCTCAAAGGGTCGTCTGGTGTGTTTCGGGGGAGACCTTGTGACCGACTTTACAGGGACTTCAAATGCACAGGAAACTTTCAGGGCAGCTCAGGTGCTCTCTGGCTCACGCTCAGATTCCTGCTTTCCCGTGTATTTTGCTTCCCATGAAACACTCATGTGTTTTCATCACCATATTCCATTTTGTATTGAACCAAAATATTCCGGGGAACTAGCACATCACCCCCAAAATAAATCATCCTGGTTTCCACGTTAAAATCCATTTCAGCTGTCCCCACCTGCCCCACCTGGGTGAGAGCATCTTCTTCCCTCGGATCGACTTTTCTCTTTGGCAGCTGTTCCTGACGCTGCTGCTTTTTCACAACCACGAGGGGTGGAGTGTGTGCCCCTGCCTGCACTGTGGGGTGTCTTTTTTTTTTTAAGATTTATTTATTTATGCATACAAGAATTGGGGTACAGGCCAGAGGTGTGGGGGTTTCCGAGAGGATTCCCCAGAGTAGGGAGCAGAAGAGGCGGATCTACACTGCTGAGGGGAGCAGCTGGCGAGGCAGGAGAGCTCTGCTGGGCCACGTGGTTGCTCCGTGGTCAGGGATCGAACTCGTGCTGTTGTGGCTGCGGACTTAACCCCTTCCGCCACCAGGGAGGCCCAATAAATAAATCTTTAAAAATAATAAACAACAGCATGCTGTCACCGGAGCTCCAGAGACTTCAACTGGGCGTATGATCAACGGGGTGTGTTGCTGAAACACTGATTGTGAATCACTTATCCTGCAAAAAACCGAGAAACTAGAGAACTGTATCCTTCAAACTTTAAAAGACTCTTCGCTTTTGTAGGTGACGCGGGTGGGGGGGGGGCGCTGGGGCGGGTGAGGGCGCACACCTGGGGAGCCCGGGCGGAGCATCCATGCGCAAGGAATTTAACGCAATTTAGTGAAAGGTCCTTTGAAACACAAGCGCAAGGAATCCTTCACAGACTCCCGAGGCCTTCACCCACTCTGCGAGAACAAGAGCCGCAGCCACAGAGATGAAACACGTGCCATTCACACGGTTAGAAAGAGTTGAACAAAAAAGGTGGCGAGCTGACCTCCTCCCAATCTCCCTTTAGGACACACTCAGGGGAGAGCGCGGGCGCAGACCCCCCGCCACACCTGACGCAGCGAGTTTCCCGCAGGTGGGGAAGCCGCAGGGGTCAGCAGGGGAAGCCGCAGGGGTCAGCACACCCGGGGCGCAGCGGACCAGCCTCGCCCTGGGAGAACCACCTTCGTGATCGTGATCGTGATCGTCGTGTCTCCCCTGCCAGGTCAGTAGGAGCGGCCCGCGCGCCGCCGCGTGCGCCCGGCTCCCCGCCTCGCTCTGCACCCACGGCTCGGCTCGCGCCGCCCGCCCACCCCGACGCCCGCGACGGCCCTCGCCCCCACCTCGCCGGGCCCGAAAACACTCCGGGGGGCACTTGCGCCCCCAGATCAGCCCGCGCAGGGCCAAGCGCAGCAGACCAGCTTCCTCCGCGCGCTGCTCGTCTGCATCCGCCACGCGCTCCATGCGCGCGGTAGGGTTCGTGCCCCAACCAGGCTGGAAGAGTAGAGAGCACCCGGGGGAGAAGTCCTGGAGCAAATAAGAAAGAAGGACGAGGGGAGGTTTTTATCCATGGCCAGTGGGGCACAATTTGTGATGATGGGTGGACTGATAAAGATGCAGCCGTCATCTGTCGACAGCTTGGCTACAAGTAAGGCCAACCTGATGATTTGGGATGGTTCCTTGATGAATATTTCTTTTGTCTTTTTCAGACTTGTCCTAATGAATTTTTTTCTTACCTGAAATTAACTATATCATCCCATTGAAAATACTGACAGCATGCGGATTTCATTCAGAAGTATAAATAATACTAGAGGGCTAGAGGGCTAGAGGGCTAATAATACTAAATAGGGCTAATAATACTAAATAGCATCTATTTACGTTTTCTTTCTTCTCTCAAGGAATGTACCTGTCTCCTAAGTAACGAAGTCTTTATTTAATGAGGAAATAGTTTAATATTCTTGACTGTTCATAATACTGCTTCCGTCAGCCAAAGGTATTAGCTTTTTCTCTGTGGTTTAGGTGGTTCTTTATTCACAGTGGTTATGCTCTATCAAGTCACTCTGAACCCTGAATTAGCAAGTGGTGAGCCATCGCTGCTGGAACTGAGTTCGAACCAAGGAATCTTTTTCTGTCCTCTTTTAGTTCTCATACTTGCAAACAGTTGTCCTTTTGCAGTCAAGTTTGTGTCATTTATTTATTTATTTATTTATTTGCATTTTGGTTGATCATCTCACTGTTGCCTTATGGAGACAATCTACATGTTAGATAATCTTCATTGGGGCATGAGTAATAGTATAAAAAATGTAGCCCTAACTAGCTGGGAAAGGATACTTGTTTACAATTTGAGAGTTGAAATGAAAAGACCTATCATCTCCTTGTGAGACCTCAGCTAGGTACCTCAAAATTTTTGAGGCTGTGTGCATGTCTGCACCCAACTTGTGTAAGTATTGATTTGGGAACTGCAAATACATAGCCCATGTTACAGTTTAGAGAGTTATCAAATTTTAGCTAATAGTGGTTTGAATTTTAAAATATGTCCTGAATTATCTGTTTGCATACCATAAATATTGATAAATTAATTGTTATTCCTATGCAGAATATCATTTTTATTTTTAAAAGTATTTTTATCTTAATAGTAGTGCAAATGTTTTTTCTAAAGCTTTCTTTTATATTATTCAGGTACTATATACTTCAATTTGCTGTTTGGTTTTGGACCTCCTGCCACTCCAGTTGCCCTGTTGTCAGTAGGTCCACTGTTTATAATAGAAATTTTCAGCTTTCAAAATATGGGCCAGTAGGAAGAGGCCACATTAAATGACTCAGTGAAGTCAGTCAATGATTTAAGTTTTCTTTGCTCAATACATGTTTAACACTCCACCCTCCATTTGTAAAGAACAAAAATATTTTTACATTTTCAGTGAAATGCCTTATCCAAAAATCAGCCATCAGAGTATATTCCTGTTTGAAATGGATTTTGGCCATACTTTTATTTTTTGGTATGGATGATCCAGGAATTCTAGTATTACCTTTGTAAATATAAAGGGAAATATCAAACTTGATGCTTGAATTGTATGGTAAATCATGTTTAAGGGGAAAAAGAGTTCCTAAGCATATTTGTGAAATTTAATTTCTACATTTTTTATTGCTTCTGATTTATCTTTATTTAACCCACTTTACATTTTATCTTAGATGATGAGCTTAGTTTGTAGCAATTTTCAATAATATTCATTAATATTCCTTTAACAATTATCAAGAAAAGCATCCAAATATCTCACATTGTAATTGCTTTTTGAATAGTCTTTTAAGAAGTGAATCAGTAAATTAAAGTTATTACAGCAAATTGGATAATTATCTTCTAGTGCACAATCTGTAATTTGCCATCAAATAGTTTTTAAATGAGAAGCATTTAAATATTTGATCAATTTAAATATATTTGAATGTTTTATTATAATTTTCCACTAATGGGAAATGCGATTTCATAAAAGAACACATAGTCTGAAGAGGTGGGAACCAATACCCCTAAATCATTAAGTGTTGTAAACCAACATTATCGCAAGTAAAAAAAGAACATCTATATAATTTACAAATAGACATGAGACTAGGGTAGGGGATCTTTCCCCCATATATACTCTATACCAACAAATATATTTGTAGATATCTATTGCAAATATATTCATCAACTTTAAAGTTTTATCTTTTCACTCTCCTTAGGGTGGTTTTCAGTAAAGTAGCATTTTTAATTTAAATTTTTGTTGAAATTAATAATGTTTTAGTTAAGCTATACCATCTTTGTCTTGATTTGTTATCTTAAATATTTATTAATAAATCTTTCCTTCATCTGAGGGTATAAGAAAAACTTCCTGTGATTCAAACATTAACATTTTTACCTTTCATAATAATGTAACTAATTGTTCAAGTATTGAGTTTTGAATGTTAGTTTGAAATCTTTCATGAAAGCTTTAGTGTGAATTTTTCAAAGTGTTGTGTTATGAAAAAAAAGTACCATACCAAAAATAATCCTGCCTTCTATTCATGATTCCTGGTTTTCTCTTTCTATGTTCAAAATTATACTTTCGTACTTCTAAGTGAGGCAAAAAATTAGTTCTTAGCTCCCTAGGTAATTATTTATTAATATCTTAATTTTCTTGGAAATATACCAATTTGAAGAGAGCATTATTCTCTGTAAGGGGAAATAAGATTTGGGATTTCCTGCTTAAAGCTAAGGTTTAAGACTGGCAGGATTCTTTGATGTGCCAATAAATGTGACTTGCTGAGCCGAAGCTAAATTAAAGGCAACTGATATGATACAAAAGCTCTGGGGTATAATAACAAAGAGGATGTAGTTACACCTCTCTGAAGCTTTTCCTTTTTTTTGACAGAGTCAAGAAATAAATGATCTTTTAATACGTATAGATGCTGATTTTAATATATAAAAGTTACAACATATAATTGAATGAGAGTATATGTTATGATTTATTCACATGTGTGATTGATTCCCCACACTCTCGAGAATGCTGTGTTTCCAGGGGTCCTGCCAGAGCAAGAACCATGGCTTATTTTGAGGAAGGAAAAGGACCCATACACGTGGATAATGTGAAATGCACAGGAAATGAGAGGTCCTTGGCCGACTGTATCAAACAAGATATTGGAAGACACAACTGCCGTCACAGTGAAGATGCAGGAGTTATTTGTGACTATGTAAGCAAGAAAGCATCTGCTAACAGTCATAAAGGTAGGTGTTCTTTTGCGGCCCTAAACAGAGAAATACCTCCAATGCACAGTTTGTTTCTGTAAGCAATACTGCTGTAACAAAGAGTTCTCTTCCACAAGAATTAATAGAATTCCTTTTCCTTGTGCTAGTATTTAGAATCAGTGATTCTGGTTGAACTTGCATGAGTGGGCTTACAGGGATAGCAGGGTTCAGGGGAAGAGGTAGATTTAAAAGGCTTTGTCATCTCTGGGGTGACCCCTTTTCTATAGTCTCAGTCAATTTTAAAATAAAACAAAATTTGACAATTTGATGTCCTTGAAAATTCATTCTTTCATGAAAAGGAGGAAAGAAATAGTCACAAAAAGGCACTTCTAGTCTTAATAATATTTTAAACAACAGGGAAATTATTCTTTTTTAAGATTTATTTATTTATACAAGAACTGGGGTATAAGCCAGAGGCTCAGGAGGATGAGAGGATTTACCAGAGACAGTGTGGGGAACAGAAAAGGCAGACAGACCAAAAACATTGCTGAGGGGAGCAGTGGGTGAGATAGGAGAGGTCTGCTGTGCCATGTGGGTATCTCCCTGGCCGACCAGGAATCAAACCTGCGCTGCAGAGGCTGCGGACAAACTTCATTGTGCTGCATTCAGCCCACTGCGCCACCAGGGAAGCCCTGGGAAATTCTTTTTAATTAATCGCAAAAGTGACAATTATCTTTTGAACATTTTATCCTTTGAAATTTAAAAGCATATGGAAAATGAGAAGTAATTTCTTAGTATACTTAGTATAATGTAGTTTGTATAATATAGTATAATAGATGTCTTGTAGGTAAGTGAATAGAAGAGTTCTTGAAAGCTCTGAGCTCTTCATGATATCAGTACTGTTTTAAATAAATGAGGAGAAAAACTAGCTATTTTGGAGAAAAGTGTGGTTATATTTTACAAAAGGATCCATTGCCTGTTTGTGTGAATTGTAAGTTCACAATTTTGGTACACAGGATTTTCTTACAAGCACATGCATTTACACTGGAGCATGCACTTTTTTTTTTTTTAATTTTTATTTATTTTATTTATTTGTTTGTTTATACATGCACTGGGTACAGTCAGAAGCGTGGGAGGGTGAGAGAATTCACCAGAGCCAGAGCGGGGAGCAGAGCAGGCAGAAGGACCGAAGTACACTGCTGAGGGGAGCAGCGGGCGGCAGGAGAGGTCTGCGCACCATGTGGGACCTGCCTCCGGTGGCCGGGGAGCAGCCGGGGATCGAACCGGTGCCGCAGAGGCCGAGGGCAGCCTCGCAACCCAGCGCTCAACCGCTGCGCCACCGGGGAGGCCCCAGCATGCACTTTTTATAACATCTTTTAATAACTTTTAATAGAAATAATGCAAACAAATAAATTTGACGTTATTATTTTTCATTTTAGAGGGACTTTTGTGTATGTCGAACACTTTATAACCCTCATGTTTTGTCTATGTTGTTCTATTATATATGTTGTGGATTTATTATCTGTGTTATTTAACATAAATTATTATATTTATGTTAGAAGGATACTTTGCTAAACCAATTTTTCCTAAATATTGATTACAACTTAATTTGTATAAATTGAATAAATTTCAATAATTTAAACTGCAGTAGAAAAACATAAAACTTCAATAATTACAAAATGTTTTATTTATTTCCTCATTGTTTGCACACTTATTGTTGTGCATTTCTACAGCTGTGGTAAGACTTATTCTGATGTATTTCCATGGTTTTAGTGCTACCATTCCTCAAGTTAAAACATTTCATTTCAGACCTGCTAGATTACAGCATCTGGCTTGCTTGCCTTTTGTTGAGGCTTAATAACTGCTTACTTCAGAAAGTAATTAAAATTCAAGCCATTGGTTATTGGTCATGTGCTGAGATCCTTTCATAAATGAAATTAATTCTGTTCTTGGGCTTCCCCTGGTGGCGCAGCGGTTGAGCGCTGGGTTGCGAAGCTGCCCGCAGCCTCTGCGACGCCGGTTCGATCCCCGGCTGCTCCCCGGCCACCGGAGGAGGGTCCCACATGGCGCGCAGACCTCTCCTGCCGCCCGCTGCTCCCCTCAGCAGTGTACTTCGGTCCTTCTGCCTGCTCTGCTCCCCGCTCTGGCTCTGGTGAATTCTCTCACCCTCCCGCACTTCTGACTGTACCCAGTGCTTGTATAAATAAATAAATAAATAAATCTTTAAAAAAAAAAAAAAAAAAAGAAATTAATTCTGTTCTTTCATCTTGTTATGACAGTGTATTTTATGGCTTGAAATAGACTTTACTTTCTTGCAATCCGGTGCTACTCCCCAGAATGATGTAAGCTTTAAGTTCGGCTTGCTTAGTATTACATCATCCCTTGTCTTGGCATTATGTACATTGACCTGACTTGGAACGTTATTGAAAACTTGTGCTTTATAATTTTCTATAATTTGTAGTGTCATCTAGAGGACTCATGTCCTAACAAATGAGGCTCAAGTTTGACAATGTCCCTCTGAGGTCATTTGGCAAATTAATCAGCTTGCTACACAATGCAAATCCTCTTTCTCCATCAAGAAATAACAAGTGTTGGGCCTCCCCGGTGGCGCAGCGGTAGAGCGCTGGGTTGCGAAGCTGCCCGCAGCCTCTGCGGCGCCGGTTCGATTCCCGGCTGCTCCCCGGCCACCGGAGGAGGGTCCCACATGGTGCGCAGACCTCTCCTGCCACCCGCTGCTCCCCTCAGCAGTGTACCTCGGTCCTTCTGCCTGTTCTGCTCCCCGCTCTGGCTCTGGTGAATTCTCTCACCCTCCCGCGCTTCTGACTGTGCCCAGTGCATGTATAAACAAAACAAATGAACAAACAAATAAATAAATAAATAAAACATGCCTCTATTAAAAAAAAAAAAAAAAAAAGAAATAACAAGTGTTGATTCCCTACTGGGCTCTGGGCTACCTGATTGTTATCAGAGACCATGAGTACTGGCAAGGTTTCATATTCTTGTCACAAATCCACCCCCTCCTTCTGTCTTTTCACAGAGAGAAAACCAGTGCCTATCTACACTTATTTACATCTTCTTAATAAATGAAACAAAATATCCCAATAAAATGCCACTTCCTTATGATTTTGGAAAACAGTCTATACCTTGTTATATTTATCCTTTTGTACGCCAGCTTTCTTGTATTTTTTAAATTTGACACTTCCTTTTTATGCTCTGTTAACAGAAGTCTGTTACCTTAGGGAAATGACTCTATGCCTTTAAATACAGTTTGATGCTTACGTTGGCTTTGCACACTCTTTCTGTAGATTAATATTCAATGTGAATTCATGTAACTTCAGATCAGAAGTCCATCCTGTTAAGAGACTTTGCTTCGCTGAGTTACTGTTGTATACGTAGCTTGGGGGAGTGTAGTATGTGAAAAGCAAGTAATTTAAACTACCACTGCATTGGCAGATCTCTCATCTTATTTAATGCTACTGAACTCCAAGACGACCTCTGTAATCAGTCAGGAGAGGACAAGGTGTAGGCACTTACGGAATGATATGTTGGACAGGGTCAAGCCATCTTGCAACCTGTGGAGCCCCTTCAGAGCTGAATGTGGGAAACCCCATAAACTTCCCTGCAGGCTTGCAAACTTTATTACCTTGATTAAATGAGAAAACAACTTTTTATTTTTATTAGAGGAAAAAATATCCTATAATTTGAAGAGAAAAGGCATCTTAAAATAGAGGCGGAAGCCACTGGGGGGGTTGTCCCTTGTGTCTTTATCCCTCCCTCAGCAGTATGACAGTTTAGTTAATGCGCTATTTCTGCTTCAGAGTCCCTCTCCTCGGTTTGTGGTTTGAGATTACTGCACCGGCGGCAGAAGCGGATCATTGGTGGGAAAAATTCCTTAAGGTAAAGGGTTCTTCAGAAGAGAGAGTCCATGTTCCAGAATTATTTGATAGTCATACAGGTTTAAAAAAGTGGGAATTTTCTACTGTTGCTTAAGGGATTTGTTTTATTCCCATTGTTCTCTAATCAAAGATATTTTGGAGTTAAATACAGATTGCATTGATAATTTCACTGTTCTTTGACCTTCACTCACTCACTTTTTATAGACTTGGTTCTGCTATTATCACCCCTGATTTATATGACAGATATGTTGCAGAGAAGCTATATGGAGAAACAAAGTAGCTGACAGAAGATTTGAAAAAAAAATGTGTCACTACAAGGATTCACTTAGTTTAGAATATGTTTGTTTCAGACTTGACTCAATAGAATTTTATTGTTTCTTTAATTTTCTATTGGAAAACCTGCACTTTGCGTACTAAATACTTCAGGCTGCTTAAGTGAGGTAGGAGAAGGGGAGAAAACACATTTGCAATCATGAAATAGAAAGAAGCCTCAACTTCCTTCTAAGAATGTCTAAGAGAGGGGGTGCTTATAAATGCCTGTATGTCATTCTCCAGCATGTCAGCTCCAGGGTGGAGGGGTACCACTTTGCACCTAGGAAGGGTTTTGTGTCCTGGGGTCTCTTGTATGCTCCTATTTCTTCACCCAGAAGCCTCTGTGTCCTTATTTTAATGAGTGCTTGTCTTGGCTTTTCTGTCTTTAACGACGTGGCTGTGTGCCGCCCTTTCTTCCTAGGGGCGGCTGGCCTTGGCAAGTGTCCCTCTGGCTGAAGTCTTCCCATGGAGATGGCAGGCTCCTTTGTGGGGCCACGCTTCTGAGCAGCTGCTGGGTCCTCACCACGGCGCACTGCTTCAAGAGGTATGTGCCCTTTCTTCCAAACAACTCTGCTTGCCTCTCACTTGCCAGTTCTAAAACATTTTTTCTATATTTATGTTTTTAATCTGATTACTGTTTATTTTGTATATGGTATATGGCACAAGGAAGGATTCAAATTACTTTTATTTATGGATAGTTTCCCCAGCACTTTTATTGAGCATTCCATGTTTATCCACTGATTTATGTCAACTCTGTCATATGCCAGGTTCTCATGTATCTCTGTTTCTGGGATCCCTGTTCACTTCCTCTTATCTAATCTTTCATGTTCATGGTGCAACAGAAGATATACGCCTATGTTTTACATAGCCTTTGACATTTCTGGCATAATAATGGAGTTTGAGGGTTCACCTCTAGAGCAGCGGGTTTAATCCATTTGTGTATGACAGGAGTGATAGACGATGAAGATTATATAACAACAAGTAATTGCTCTGCTCCTAGTTTTCCTAAGGATGTTAGATCACTAGAGATACAGTGCAGAACCAGACAGGAACCATGCTATCGTGAGAATTTTCTGTAGCTACAAGATCCCAGAGGAGAGAGACGTCGATATTGTAAATATGATCTGATGAAGGAAAAAAAAAAAAAAGGACTTAGGGCACTGTGTTTAACTTGTGGACTTTTCACCACAATATTAGATGCATTTAGCTTTGTTAAGAATCCGGTCTCTGGGTCTCTATTCCATATCTACTGAAATCTGTGGAGGTGAGACCCAGGAGTCTGCATTCTTGCCAAGTCTCTCAGAAGAATCTGATGTACATTAAAAGTGCAGATCCATTTACTGAGTGGAGAGAATAAAAATGTGGTCTGGATATTTGAAGAATGATGATGGCGAAGAATGCAGTAGGTTTGATGGGATACTTATCCTTGGCCTATTCAACATGTGAATCATTTCATTGGAAAAGGACACTGATGGCAAGTTAATCACATTTTTGGATCCCTGGGGATCGGGAAGACAAATAATGTGTTGGAAAATAGAATCCACAATGACCAAAAATCTCAATGGGATGATTCTGGCAAGTAACATGGAATAAGGACGATGTAAAATGCCGCCTTTCGTTCCAGGAAATAAGGCTTCAATGCAGCACAAGTGAAAAAGACCTCACAGGCAGTGGCATCCTTCCACTTAATATGTGATTGCCCATGAAGTTAGCAAGTGTTGGGCAGCACTGACAGAGCACTGTTCAGACAAAGCAGCAAAGAGCCTGGCTATTCTGTGTTCTTGTGCTCAGCTATTGTTGGGGACAAAAGCACTGTCACTCTCCAGCAGAGAGAACTGTGCTGCATTCTGGGTGTGGCAGGAATGTGATACACTCAGGAAGACAAGCAGCCAGGTGACAGCATGTGGAGTCCCACTGGTGCATTCTCTGTGGCTTCAGTATCATGGGTGTTAATGAAAGATGGGATGATTTTCATTTTAACACAAGGAAGAGGTTCTTTGTGTTGTGTTTATTTCTTTAACTGTAGGGCTGCTGAAAGGTGAAATGGCCTGTGTGTGGGAGGAAGAATGAGTTCTGTTGTGAGGTCTGGTCAGAGAGGCTGGATTCTTCTATAAGTGGAGCTGGGGGTAGATGATGTCTGATTAGAGTAGAGAGGGGGAAATGGAGCCAGCTGTACTGGAGGGATGGCAGCTATCAACTAGAGTAGCGATCTGGAATTTGTGTAGTAGACTCACTAGAGAGAAGCAGGAGGGTCTGGGATGTGAGGGGAATGAGTGTCTGTTCATTTACTAGGTGGTAGGAACCCGTTGAATGATTTTGAGGCTTGACATCTGATCAAAGAGTAGTTTTAGGAGATGAGCCATTTGGGGATGTATGGGATAGGTAGAGGGGATCAAGTCCATTGATTAGGGGTCTGTGAATGAACTTTAAGCTACACGAGCAGATCTTTGGTAATATGCTTATATGCCCTTTTTCTGCAATGACTGAAATTGGTCTTGTTTTTCAATGATTAAGATCCAGTATGGTAGGAACTGGAGGGGGATAGGTTATAAGGTAGAAAGAAAAGGAGGGCGAGCAGGCAGGGGTTCTATGATAGGAATCAACACTTGGTGCTGTGTAAGAGGAAGGGTAGACCTGCCCTCCCAAGCAGGGTTACAATTCTAGCTCCTCTGATGGTTTATTGTTCAACTTGCGGAAATTACTGAATGCCTAGGGGCCTCAGTTTTTTCATTTGTAAGATGAAGGCAGTGACGTTCCACAGAGAAGTATGTGAAAGTAGTTGATAAAGTGTAAAATTCCAAACAGACATGGGCTGTTATTATGTTGGAGTTGAAAAACATGGACTCAAAGATTATTATTGGCAAAAATCAGGAACTGAAGATGATTTTATTCTACTCCTCTATAGAGAAGACTGAGGTAAGAAACTGCAGAGATCTGGCCCTGGGGCTCAGAGCTTAGGCGATTCATTCACTTGGTCCTTAAAGATTGTTCTCATCATATTTAAGACTCTATCTTTCAAGTCTCTGCTTAAATTTATAGTCTGAAAAGTTCAAGGCTTAAGGTATTAAAGGAGGGAGATTCCTCCACAAATTCCACATTCCACTTGAAATAGAAAACTTTGATCAAACTGTTGGGTTCTCTGAAAGGTCTTACTTTTTTTTTTTTTTTTTACTTACATGTTGGATTTATTTGTTTACATGTCATTATTCCTCCTTTGGCCTGGTCCTGCTAGATTATTGCTTAAAGTCAGTAATCGTCTCCTTTGTGTTTATAAGCCAAGTGTCTAGTATATTACTTGGCACAGAGTCGATCATCTTAAATGATTGTTGCAGGATGAAAGTGGAGCTCAGTTGCCAGAGAATGGATGTACTTAAGGGCATTGGATTCTTTAGAGGATGGTGGCATTTTAACCTTAGGTCAACAGATAACTTTTTCCATATGTCATTTTGGATTTCTTCCCATTATCTGCACAGCATAAGGGAAAGGCAACTGATTAAAAAGTAGAGGAGCAGATTAGGATATGCAGCATTTTGGTGTGCTTTGGGTTGAATGCCAAACTCTACTAATGTGAAAAGGGTGAAGGTTGTTTTGTAAATGTGTTGTGCATCTATTTGACTTGGTCTGTAACCTATATCCAGTTTCATAGACTTCCTGTTTTGATGTGCCTCACTATTCTATAACTCACATATTTATTGCAGTAAGGCTTTTGAAATGCATAGGGACAGTTACCCCTGATTAGAACAAGCACCCGATTTTTTTTTTTCTAGGTTCAGGGACTTTGGTTTAAAACAACTGTCCCTTAATCATCAGGGACTCGGAAGTTTGCAAAAATAGATTTCCCCTGGAATTGTTGAGATTGTAGTGCAGGAGCATTGTAGTCAGACTCTGAAAGGCTACCTGCCTTTTGGATGTCATGGGAGCCTAATTTAGAGTCTATTGGTAGGGGACCTCGATGTCATTTTTGGTGGGAAATCTTTCTGTTTGTATCTCTGCTACTGAGGCATGTACAATGTATGTTCACTGGACCTTCATTGGTGCCTAATACTTGCAGTGATGATAAAGGCCAGTGCTTTTGAGCCGTCACTGCTGAATAACAATAGATTGCTATTGCCATCTGTGTTATTTTCTTCTATGGGATGACAGTTTTTTTGCTTGTTTGTTTTATCTTCATTGAATAGTTATCTTTATATTAGGTTGTCAGAAAAGTCATGCCTCATTTTTGCGTAGAAAACATAGAAAAAATATGGCATGCGTTTTTTGACAACCCAATATAATCCCCCTATCAGAATAATCTAGAAATGATGACCTTGGCAGGAGAGACCAGGATGCAGTTAACTTCAGATCCAGATCCACCATCCTCAGCTACCCTCACTTCATATGCAGCCTTCTGTACATGATAAGGGAATTTGACTGGAAGGCTGACAGACCTCTAGTGTTCAACTCTAATTTGCCCATAGTTTTCACATACTGTGAGGTTCAGAGTAATCTGCTGCCATTCTAATACAGATAACCAAGGCAGTGTGAATCACCATTTAAAGGTCTTAAATTTTATTTTTTATATTTTCCCCAGTGTTGATACAATGCAGACGTTGGAATGCAGCATCCTGTTGGCAGTTTGAAGAGGAAACTTGAATAAATCAAGCTTTTTTTTGTACTTGCCCTGTGAATCTTGCACAGTAAATTTCTGGCTTTTGCTATTTTCTATTCTAAATGACAACCACAGGTACCAAAAAATGACCCTCTCCCTATGGTGGTGCAGCAGTATAATTGAGAGAAAAATTCCTGAGAATTAAACTAATTCCTTTTAATTGCTTATTCTGATAACAAATACCATTTTGGAGGAAAAAATGTACTTGCAACAAGTACTGACTTATTTCTGTAAATCTACTGCAAATTGAATTTGTTCAAGAATATAGCTTTACCCGATTTTATCTTTTTGATTTTTTGCCTAGAAATGCTAGAGTAGCAGAAAATTATCAAAGATTATAGCTCTGAGTCAGAAATGTTTAGGTCTTTATAGTTAGATGAGCTGCAGACTAGTGCCATTTGCTTTTGAAGAATACAGTATTTGAAGTGCTTAACATATACTCTGTCATGACCTCGTGTGTGGTAGAGTTCTTAAGAATATGGTCTTGTATGGGGAATAAAAACAAACAAACAAAAAAGGATATGGTCTTGTTGATATATATAAACCTATCAGTCATGCCCAAAGCAGTTCTTAATTCCTCGTGTGTGTGTGTGTGTGTGTGTGTGTGTGTGTGTGTGTGTGTATGACACTGCAAGCTTCTACAGGGAAGGTCATTTTTTCCTAAGCAAATAGAACCATTTACATAAGCTGCTTCAGTCAACCACTTAGAAGCAACTCAGTCAGGCCCTTTTTGAATTTCATCGAAACAACAGAGAAAAACAGATTCTAACAGTAGCAGATGTGCACAAGCTGGTGTACAACATTATCTTTTTTTTTTTTTTTTAAAGATTTATTTATTTATATAAGCACTGGGTACAATCAGAAGCGTGGGAGGGTGAGAGAATTCACCAGAGCCAGAGCAGGGAGCAGAACAGACACACTGACGAAATACACTGCTGAGGGGAGCAGCGGGCGCAGCAGGAGAGGTCTGCCATGCCATGTGGGACCCTCGCCAGCGGCCAGGGATCGAACCAGCGGCCAGGGATTGAACTGGCGCTGCAGAGGCTGTGGGCAGCTTCGCAGCCCAGTACTCAACTTCCGCGCCACTGGGGAGGCCCTACAACATTATCTTTTTAAAGAGCTGAATCCATGTAAAAAATATGACTGCAACCTGAATGAACACCTCTATTTTTAAAATTTATTTATTATTATATTATTATTTCAATTTATACATTTTTATGTCATTTTTCATTTTTGCACAATGTATGCATTTTCATCTTGGTTATAATCCCCATACAATTCCCACCCCACCTTGCTTTGATCCCACTCTCTCCTCCCACACCCTGTAGTGCACCACTGGTTTACAGTTGCAATTTGCAGCAACATGGATGGAGCTGGAAGGGATCATGCTCAGCAAAATAAGGCAGAAAGAAAAAGAACAATACCGGATGGTCTCACTTATAGCAGGAATTTAGAAAACCTAAATAAGGGACCAGGAAAAAGACTACTTGTAATAAAGTAAAAATCAAAATCAACACCTCTCTTTTTAATAATGGTGTTTAATTTGGTGGTGGTTTAGCACTAGAAACTCAGACAAACTTGAATCTTGGATTTTACTAAACTGCAGATCCTCTGTATCCCAGATCCTCTGTATCTCAAACTTGCCTGGGAATTTCATCAAATTTTTACTTGGGGGGGAGTTGAAAGCAAAGCAAACAACCAAATGGTGCATCAGCCAAAACAGGAAATGTTTGTTTTAGAAGCATTTCTCAATATAATAAAGTCTATCAAAATAACAAAGGCTCTATTAGAAAGACCTTAAAATACACTGAAAAAGAGGATTTCATCATAGTTTTTTGAGAAGCCTAGAACTGTAATAGATACTTTCATAGTCCATGGTCATATTGGGAACCACAGCCAAAGTGTTACTCCTGAAGCATGTAATAGCACCTGCCAGGAGAGGTGACAGTAGAGTATTTCCAATACTGTGACTGGAAGCTAATCGAATCTTGTGTCAGATGCTCTTTAGGTTTCCAGGTATAAAGTCTATTTTAAGAATAACTGGAGTGAGAGGTGTGTGGGAACCACTGCTTAGGTTTCGCTGAGACAACTTTAAAAAAGAGGTGCTACTAAAGACCTTTCTTTTGAAGAGAATGCTGCTCATTTTCTTCTTGTCAGGGAAATATTTTATTTTTAAAAATATTTTGTTCTCAGTTTAATATCAACTCCTGATTGATGAGAATACGAACTGCGGTGTGTGCCCAAATAATTTGATCTGAGAACTTGGCATATGTATGGAATGTGTTTGACTTTTCCTTTAGCTATTGATTACTACTCATGAGAATGCTTCCTACTTCACCCAGTGAAATTCTAGGCATGGAAGGGCAGTATACTCATACCTTTTGGAGCTTTTGGGTCGGTGATTCTCAAGTCTGTGAAATTGAATCACCTATGATTCTACATCAGCCCTATTCATTTATTTTTTATTTCATTAATTTTCTAAAGATTTATTTTTTATTTATACAATAGCTGGGGTACAGGTCAGAGACGCGGGAGGGTGAGAGGATTCACCGGAGACAGAGTGGGGAGCAGAGCAGGCAACAGACCGAAAGCACTGCTGAGGGGAGCAGTGGGCGAGGCAGGAGAGGTCTGCCACGCCAAGTGGGAATCTCCCTGGCCGGCCGGGAATCGAACCCATGCTACAGAGGCTGTGGACAGCTTCACAGCACTGTGCTCAACCCGCTGCACCACCAGGGAGGCCCCATTTAATTTATTAATTATGAAATTCTGTGCGACCTGGACATTTGTATTTTTAAAAGTGGTACAGGTAATTGGGGCATACATCCGGCATGAACCGTAACATTAAATCTCTTTTGGGGATTTATTTTTATGAAATAGAAACTTTTGTGATGTTGTTATCATACAGGAGGGGGAAAATTAGGGTGATTGTTGTAAAATGTATGTTTTTCTATTCCAGCAGCGAAATACTAGCGCAAAGTCGGTGGTGACTTGATAAATCCAGAATTACAGTTTCACCAGAGAAAAGAAAGATTAATTTTTTGCAAAAGAGCGATTGTGAATCCAAGACTTGTAAGAAGGAGAAGTTGTAGCAGTCAGATTGAAATGGGAAAAAAAAATGAGTAGGGTCAAAGGTTTGAAGTCAAAATGGGTTGAAGGATTGTAGAACTGTAAAACTGTGAAGGTGGCAAAAAGTGAACTGCTTGACATCAGGATTCAGAAATGAAATGTGTAGTATTTTCAGGTGAGGACTTAGAGAAATAAAATGGAAAGGTTGGAAATTAAGTCATTAAAATTGTTACAGGAAATAATAAAGGGGATGAGCAAGGTGCTCTAATCTTCACTGGGAGATTGGAAATAGTGGCCAGCAGGGGGTTGGTGCATGTGTTTTATGTCAGTGGATGTCAGTGGAGGACAATTTGCACAATAGGGGACATTTAGCAATGTCTGGAGACATTTTTGTTTGTCATAACGAGGGTGTGTGTGTGTGTGTGTTTGCATGTGTGTTCCTGGCATCCAATGAATAGAATCTCGGGATGACTCTAAACCTCCAACAATGCACAGGACAGCTCCACAGCCCCTCACAACAATCTGGCTCCAGTTGTCAACAGGGCTGAGGCTGAGAAACTACTCCAGAATCAAGGCGTATGTTGGCTGATAAACAGACCAACAGCTATCAATCTAATAAATATTGTGTTTCTATTTTAACTGAATAGTTCCTTATGGAAAGAAGACATAAAAATGTACATTTGTTCACTCAGTCAACAAACATAAGCTACATTCCTACTTACCAGGGCCTCATTGTTCTAGGTATTTAAGATTCATCAGTGAACACAACAGATATTGATGCCCTTGAATGCCTTTTATTCAAGCAGGGGAGAGAGAGAATAAAACACATAATAAATAGTAAATGACATAGTGTGCTTGAAAGCGGTATTAAAAAGAAAAATGAAGGCAGCAATGATAGTAATTTTGCCCTACACTATTTGTTTATTTTTCACTTGATGACAGGTTAATGATTAGCTCTTTATTTTCCACACTTCTTTCACATTTGCTTTTTCAGAAAATAGATGGTAATCTGGATTAAATACTGAAATGGAGAAAGGAAGTGATGGTTTTTTTTTTTGGTTTTTTTTTTTTTTTCTAGAGGCATGTTTTGTTTTTATTTATTTATTTATTTGTTTGTTTGTTTGTTTTGTTTATACAAGCACTGGGTACAGTCAGAAGCGCAGAAGCGCGGGAGGGTGAGAGAATTCACCAGAGCCAGAGCGGGGAGCAGAGCAGGCAGAAGGACCGAAGTACACTGCTGAGGGGAGCAGCGGGCGGCAGGAGAGGTCTGCGCGCCATGCGGGACCCTCCTCCATTGGCCGGGGAGCCGCCGGGGATTGAACCGGCGCCGCAGAGGCTGCGGGCAGCTTCGCAACCCAGCGCTCTACCGCTGCGCCACCGGGGAGGCCCAGGAAGTGATGGGTTTTGAGTATAGAACTGAGTCCAGTGGGGTCAGAGAAATGAAAAGGTTAAATTTAAAAAAGGAGCCAATGATTTGTAACAAACTGACAACCCAATTGTCTGCAGTGTCTCTTATTAACCTACTGAAGAATTAACCTGCTGACTCATTTCAGCATGTAAGACAAGCCTCTCATTAGTCTCTCTGCCTCTCAGGTATGGTAACAGCACTAAGAACTATGCTGTTCGAGTTGGGGATTATCACACTCAGGTGCCGGGGGAATAGGAGGAAGAAATTGGAGTTCAGCAGGTCGTGATTCACCCGGAGTACCGACCAAACGGCAGCGACTACGACATCGCCCTGGTGAGACTGCAGGGACCAGAAGAGCAGCGTAGGAGGTTCAGCAGCCACGTCTTGCCTGCCTGTTTGCCCCTCCGGAGGGAGAGGCCACAGAAAACAGCCTCTAATTGTTACCTCACGGCATGGGGAGACACAGGTAATGCAAACAATACAAAGGAACAAATGTGTCTGCACATTTCTCCAGTCTGGGTTTCTCCTCACTTTGGGGTGCACAAAAGGTAGTAAAATCTAAAGGAGTTCAGGCTTAGTTATTGGAAATACTGCCAAGTGTGAGATGCATGGATGTGATTTGGATTTACATCCTGAGGGCACTGTTGGTTCCCATAAGAACCTTAGCACAAACTGACAACCCAACTGCCTGGGAGCTTACGGGGGTAGAGAATTCTCTACTTCTTGTTCCGCAGACTAGTGAGGAGACAAAGGAAGATTTCAAGGCATACTGTAAGACTTGGGCCCTGGCAGTCTCTATTTTAAGCTTTCCCAACTGATTTTGATGTAGCTAGCCCCGGAAAGCGCTCAGTGTTTGATTCTTTCTTTCTTTGCATGAAGCCCCAACTCTTGGAGAATTCCTATTCAGATCAGACAGAGCAGAGCCTCTGAGGATTAACTGAAGGGACCCCATCCATTCCAGTTTCTCCTCAGTGTCTCCTTCCCATTTTCCCCATCTCCGAACCCCCCAAAGTCTATTGTTCAGTTTAAGCTTATTTTTCATAAGGGAACAAGGCTTTGTGCAGTCTTACTAGAGTTCAATCCATGGATGCCAGCTGGTGTTGCTCAGCAAGGTGTTGGAAACCATAGAGCTAGCACTCACTTGAGTTAGGTGTTTCCTTTACAAGAGACCAGAAAATGGTCTTAGTACACTGTGCTGACCAGGATGCCAATAGTCTCTGAGAAAGCTACAGTCTAATCTGTTAGAATTATGAACACCTCCGTAGGAACGAAGATTCAATCATCTTTTGGATACATCTGCAGTAATAGAAATGACCAATGAAGCGTATTTTACAGAATGTTTTACTATAGACTGATGATTCCAGTTGAATCAATAGGATCAGAAAATAATGGTGGGATTTATTTTTATTTTTTTTTAATATAATCTGATTTATATTTCTTTTTTTCTGTTTCACATTTTTTTTTTAGATAATAAATTTTATTGTTATATTCCCCATACAATTGCAGCCCCCCCATTCTGGCCCCAATCCCTCCCCTCCCGCCCCCGCCCCCCTAAAAGTGTCTCTGGTTCATAGTTTTTTGTTGAGTGGTAACATCAAGTGGTGAAAACTTAGCCTGTCTACATAAGGAATGCTTTGTTTCTCAATTATCCTTATGAAATCCTGTATTCCTGTTTACAACAGTGATCGCCTGGTCTCCTGCCCACTCTGTGTCTGGTGAGTCATCTCACCTCCCCATCCCCAAAACTTCTGGCCTACACCCCACTTCTGCACCCCTCCCCAAAGTATAAAACATGTTAAATTATTTTGGTCCTTCTAGAAGGCTTTGTAGGATGCTTAATGTTCATTTTCAAAAGAAAACTTCTGACTTCTCGGGCCTGTGAGGGAATTTTAGTCTCCTAGTAAGACTTGGTGGATATTAGAGAACAATGGAAGGAGAAAATGCAGCTTCTGTGAGCTAAATTCCAAACCTCACATTTGTCATCAGGGTCCCTGAATTGCAAAAGGCGGGATCTTCATCAGCTGGCTCTTTTCCACATGGTCTGCAGCTAAGGTGTTCCCTGGTCTCAGAAAGGGGCCTGGTGTCCAACAGAATCCAGAGCTTTGACGAGCAACCTCAGCTTTCTCTGCTTGTCTTCCAGTCGTTCTGATGTGAAGATTTGAGAATCCTTTAAGTCCTGTTGCTGCTGGCAGAGGTTATCCACAGCAATGGCAAACTGCCTCTTACGAGTGACCTGGGACATTTGTTTTTCTCTCACTCCCAAATAGGAAAATCCTAAGTGACCATTGCCATGAACGGTCCAGCTCCGGAGAGCAGGGTTGAGAGAGGAATCTGAAAGAACCAAGGAATAAAGAAATGACTGGCACAAAATAGAGTTTAAGAGAAGCAGGACACAGGGGACACAAGGTCTCATTCTGGCTCAGTCATCCAGAACACCCAGAGCAACTCAGATTTATGGAGACAGACCACCTCCTAGGTTAGTTACAAGACAGTGGATTATTCTTTTGTTCCTTAGTATTCAGCAGTATTCTGGCACACATGCACCGCCAAGGTTCTGCATTATCAGATTATTCTGTTCTCTCTTCTAATCTAGTTTCTCTCACAGGCCTGGTTTCGCTGACACAACATCCTGATCTGTACAAGGGCCAATTTTCTGACCCAGGCTGATCCATCTTTTAGCCATGCCTAGTCTTTCAGCCATGACCCTGATAGTTTCCTTGTCTCCGCACTTTATGCCATAGGGGTCTCCACGTCTCCCCCCATTTTTAAAAAAAAGATTTATTTATTTATGCATACAAGAACTGGGGTACAGGCCAGAGGTGTTGGGGGGATGAGAGAATTCACCAGAGTGGAGAACAGAACAGGTGAACTAATGGAAATACACTGCTGAGGGGAGCAGTTGGGAGTCAGGAGAGGTCTGCTGTGCCATGTGGGTAGCCCCCTGGCTGGGGATCAAACTTGTGCTGCACTGGCTGTGGACAGCTTCATAGGTTGCGCCTCAACCCCTTGCACCAGCAGGGAGGTCCCCTTTTTTTTGTTTTGTTTTTTAGTGCAACCTTGACAATGACTATGGCAGCAACTTTCAGTTGTTTTCACTCCCACATGTTTCTTCCTTTACTTTTGTAGAAGAGGATTTAAAGTAACAGATATGCAAAAATAGGGATTAGTGCAACTAACATGAAGATAATTTCCAAAGCTTTTACATAATTCAGTTTATTTAAATTGGCTAACTCCCATCATTAAATTTACAACATCTTTCCCTCCTACTGCTGATAAGCATTTAACAAATGCCGCCTGTGTATTTTGTTGCAAGTGTTGCATTTGCTCAGACATATTTACATTTCCTTGAAATTGTAGCTTAATATGTTTGCATGTAGCCTGAGTCTGATTATATACAAATGGAGTTACACAGATGGATGTACAGGTCCAGTCACAGGGCTAAGACAGTTGGGTCTGTACAGTTTTTAGCTGATCTCTTGACAATTTTACTGTCTGTTGTTGTTATAGTTTGTCTCTAAGGTCCGTGACATCAGAATAGGAGTTTCGTAGAACAGTGTCACAACAAAACACAACGGAGTTGGTGGTGTCTAGGGGGCTTGGTGATGTCCATCATGTCAGCGTACAGCAGCCTGAAGGGCATCGAGTCTTGATCCGCGGTTCCGGAGGACAGCATATTCAGTGGGAAGGGTCCTCGTTTCTCCTGTCGGCCTGCATAGGTGGCATCCCGGGTGGCAGCTACATGGCTAATGGCTGGAGCTCTGGAATCCTTTTCTGCTGGAATCCAAAGTGGTCCTATAGGTAATGAAACAGAAACATACCCTCTCCCCCATGTTCAATGTTTTTTTAAAAGATTTATTTATTCTGCATACAAGAGCTGCATACAAGAGCTTCTGCATACAAGAGCTGCATACAAGGCCAGAGGTGTGGGGGGTGGGTGAGAGGATTCACCCGAGACAGAGTGGGGAACAGAACAGGCAGATTGACCGGAGTACACCACTGAGGGGAACAGTGGGTGAGTCGGGAGAGATCTGATGCATCATGTAGGAAGCTCCCTGGCCGACCAGGGATCCGACTCCTGCTACAGTGGCTGCAGACAGCTTCATAGGTTGTGCCTTAAGCCCTTGCGCCTCCAGGGCTCCCCCATGTTCAATGTTTTAAGGTCCCAGCCAAGTTGTCCCTTGCGATGGGCAGTTATCTGTGACCAAGGGCCTAGGGCTTGGTGTTGCTGTCATAAAAAGCTGCTCCGCTGCCCTGAGGAAGTAGGAATGAGATGTTGCTAAACAGTTGTTAGACCAAAGCAGTTGCAATTCAAGAATTTACAAGTAAATAAAACGTTGTATATAAGTACCTATAGGCACAAGATTTCCTCTAGACTCCCCTTGTTTTTTGTATTTTAAACCCCGATCTCAGGATTTTAGTGTATGCTAGAGAATAACAATCAGCCGCCAGTATTGTCCATGCATGTCTAGTATGATAGTCCTTCATTCCTGGAAATTAGTCAGTCCATGGGGGTGGGGGTGAGAGGATTCACCAGAGAGAGTGGGGAGCAGAACAGGAAGATCTACTGAAATACACTGCTGAGGGGAGCAGCAGGCAAGGCAGAAGAGGTCTGCTGTGCCATGTGGGTAGCTCTCTGGCCAGCCGGGGATCGACCTCATGCTTCAGTGGCTGGCAATAATTCGGTAATGCTGTCTTTAACACCCTGCGCCACCAGGGAGGTCCGGTTTAACTTTTTTAAAAACAAGTTTTCTCCACCTTGACCCAATTTTATACAGTAGTACAGCAAAATATTTGCAAACTAAATCTACTCTCAGGCCAATTTACTTATTTTTGCATAAAATCACAAGGCAGAGTAACCAAACAGCAATTCTAGCTAACTTTGCTGGAAAACTCCATATAAGATCACAGTGAACTCTTGACATCTAGTCTGTGTAGGCTTCAGAAACAAATTTGGTTTCCGCCTGGAGTTTCCTATTCTCCAGGTTACCAGAATATCATTTATATTTTACTATATTATAAGGACCCATTATATTTTTGTGTACAGTGAATAATATTCTGTATTCTGAATCTTACAGGAACTTCCAGGGAAATGAAATAATGCCCCAAGGAAACATGCATTAGATGAATTATCTTCATAAAGTAAATGCCACATTTGGCCTTGTACGGTGGCAGCCCTGTATGATTAACTGCAATGGCCTTAAAATTGGAAATGTCTGCTAAAAACGTTTTAATGTTTTTCTCCCAGCAGAAATACTCAGTGAGTACAAAGTAGATTATTTTATAATAATAAACACTTTCTTTTTTTAAAAAAAAGATTATTTATACACGAACCGGGGTACAGGCCAGAGGCACGGGAGGGTGAGAGGATTCACCAGAGCCAGAGCGGGGAACAGAACAGGCAGACTGATGAAATACACTGCTGAGGGGAGCAGCGGGCGCAACAGGAGAGGTCTGTCGCGCCATGTGGAACCCTGCCCTGCTCACCGGGATCAAACCGGTGCTGTAGAGGCTGCCGACAGCTTCACAGCGCGGCACTCAACCACCTGCACCACAGGGGAAACCTAATAAACACTTTCATTTCACAAACGAAAAGGAAAGTAAGAGGACTCATTTGCATGTTCGGACCTGGGATTTTTTTGCATAGCACTCGATCGATGTGCACAACTCTTGCCAGGTCCCATAATTTGAGCAGTTTATATTCATATATCTCTATACGTGCACTCCCCTAGAATAAAACTAAAATTTCACCAAGATTTTCATGTGAAACATTGATTTCAAGGTATTAGGGCCTGCAAACATCTTCCAGGCAGATTGAAAGATAAGGGTTGTCTTTAGGAATAAATGGAAAATGTGTAAATCAGAGTATTCTATGTATATTAATTATCATTATATGGAAACATTTATTCATCAATTAAAATGATAGTATTTCATCCTTCTGTATAAATCAAAGGAGATCATTGCTGTCATTTCTTTTTATTTCTTTTTTATTTTTATTTTATTTTTTTTTTTTGGTGGGACCCTCGCCGGTGGCCGGGAATCGAACTGGCGCTGTAGAGGCTGCAGGCAGCCTCACAAACCAGTGCTGAACCACTGCGCCACCAGGGGAGGCCCCATGTCATTTCTTTTTAATACCCAGCAATTCTTAGTGATGAAAAATGTGGCCATCCAATTGCTTAAGTTCAAATTTAAATTATCTTACTTGCTTACTTACTATAGAGTCTTGGGGAAATTATTTTTCAAATGTTTTTCTTGTGTCCCTAGCTGTGAAATGCAGGTAATAATTGCAATAGCACCTGACTCTTGAATTCAATGAAGGGAAAATACATGTATATATGTAAAAATTCATAACTACACCCAAAACTTTAAAAAAATTACATATTGTTATTTTTCATTTCTTGAACTGTTTAGTCAAATCCAGAAGCTACATCAAATTGTACCACGTTGTTTAATTACCAAGAGTAAAAACTAGTGACTATTTATAAAAATAGACATTAACAATACATAGCAATGAAACTGCTCTCTCAATGATTGGAGATCAAGTCAACTTCAAGGAATTCATTGAAAGTAAAACATTAGTAATGGAACTATAAAAATCCACCACTTTTTTCATAATATTCAAAATGTAGTATAATACGGGCTCATCTGGGATTTGAGGCAGTTAAACACAGGAAAAAGGTTGCTTTCACCAGCCATTTCAAAGATGTCAGGGGAGTCAGATGATTCCAACTGAGGCAATATTATCACCAAGTTCTCTTCCAGAGAACAAGGAGAGGATGGAACAACAAATGCAGAATAGAGATAAAATATACCAGTGACCGATATCATCACCTGCAAGATTCTCCTGCAGACACGAGAGAGTAATCATGGTCTTCCCAGACAGACAAAACCAGAGAAGGGGTTCACTAACACTAGATCTACCCTGAAAGAAATGTTAAAAAGATCTTCTGTATAATTCAAAGAGAAGAAAATCCACAGAAAAGCTGAGCACGGAAATAGACAGAACCAGAAATATTTTATTTATTTATTTGTTTGTTTGTTTATGCATATAAGAACTGGAGTACAGGCCAGAGGTGTGTGGGGTGAGAGGATTCACCAGAGAGAGTGGGGAATAAAACAGGCAGATTGACTGAAATACACTACTAAGGGAAGCAATGGACGAGTCAGGAGAGGTCTGCCATGTGGGATGCTCCCTGGCTGGCTGGGGATTGATCTCGTGCTGCAGTGGCTGCGGATAGCTTCATAGGTTATCTCTTAACCCCTCACGCCACCATGGAGGCCCCAGAATCAGAAAATGAAAGTCAAAGTGGGTGTAGGCTCACAGCTCAAGGTTGAATATTAGAATGGGTACTCTTTAAGTTCCCATATGTTCATTGATTCTGCTATGTCCTGGTCAAAATCCCTTCAGATTATCACAAGCTTCCAGGAGAGCCATATGGCATTCTTTTCCCCCCAAATATTGGAGCTACTCCTTATTCTAGCCAGCTCCCCCTTCTTCTGGACATGAGTGACAACTAAGGCGATCATGCAGCAGGATAAGTCCTCAGTCTGTGGAAAATAGATGTAGACAAAATAGAAATGAACATACAAAAGGATGGTTGCTTAGTGATTGTTGCTGGAAGCCTGAAAAAACAGTCTCTGTCAGCTGCCTCCTCTGATGATAGTCAGATATTTCACAACTAAATTGTCCCTCAGCACTATGAAGCTATCCGGAGCCACTGCAGCACAAGCTCCATTTCAACCCAGGGAGCTGACCCACATGGCACAGCAGACCTCTCCTGTCTCACCTGCTTCTCCCCTCAGCAGTGTATTTCAGTCAGTCTGTCTGTTCTGCTCCCCACTCTGTCTCTGGTGAAGCTTCTCGAAGCCCTGCACTGCCCCACAGTACCTCTGGCCTGCATCCCAGGTCTTGTATGCATAAATAAAATACCAATCTTTTTTTAAAGTTTTTTATTTTATTTAAAAAAATATTTATTTATTAGTACAAGCACTGGGTACAGTCAGAAATGCGGGAGGGTGAGAGAATTCACCAGAGCCAGAGCGGGGAGCAGAGCAGGCTGAAGGACCGAGGTACACTGCTGAGGGGAGCAGCGGGCGGCAGGAGAGGTCTGTGCGCCATGCGGGACCCTCCTCCAGTTGCTGGGGAGCAGCTGGGGATCGAACTGGCGCTGCAGAGGCCGTGTGCAGCTTCGCAACCTAGCGCTCAATTGCTGCGCCAGCCGGGAGGCCCAGTTTTTTTTTTTTTTTTTTAAAGATTTATTTATACAAGCACTGGGGTACAGGCCAGAGGCACGGGAGGGTGAGAGAATTTACCAGAGACACAGCAGGGAGAACAGGCAGCAGGACCAAAGTACACTGCTGGCGGGAGCAGCAGGCGAGAAAGGAGAGGTCTGGCCCCCATGTGGGAATCTCCCTGGCCAGCCAGAAATAGAACCCGTGCTGCAGAGGCTGTGGACAGCTTCATAGTGCTGCGCTCAACCAACTGCACAACCAGGTAGGTCCCTAAAAAATAAATCTTGGCTCTCCCCTGGTGGCGCAGCGGTTGAGCACTGGGCTGTGAAGCTGCCCGCAGCCTCTGCAGTGCAGGTTTGATCCCCAGCCACTGGTGAGGGGCGCCCATGGCGCGCAGACCTCTCCCGTTGCGCCCACTGCTCCCCTCAACAGTGTATTTCGTGACTCTGCCTGTTCTGTTCCCCGCTCTGGCTCTGGTGAATCCTCTCACCCTCCTGCGCTTCTGACTATACCCAGTGATTGTATAAATAAATAAACAAGTTTTTTAAATAAATAAAAATAAATCTTTGAAAAAAAACCACCAGTACATCCTATACAAGATCAAAGACCCACAGAAGATTATGCTTTCACACTTGCTGTTCTCTGACCCAGGCTGATGGCCCTGAAGTGAAGAGGAATGTTCCCTCACAGGGGATGGTGTCATTTGAGGACGTGGCTGTGAACTTCATCTGGGAGGTGTGGCAGGACCTCAGTGATGCTCAGATGACCCTGTACCGGGATGTGATGCTGCAGACCTACAGTCCCTGGTGTCACCAGGCAAGGAAACGCCTTTGTAATCCTCAAGTGCATCCACTGTCTTCTACACTGTTAAATATGTGCATAATCTTCCATCTGCTTTTGTCATTTATCCAAAACTGAAGCGTATGCAACTTGATCAAGGACCAAAATTGTTTTTTTTTTTAAGTTTTATTTATTTATGCATACAAGAACTGGGGTACAGGCTAGAGGTGCGAGGATTCACCAGAGACAGAGTGGGGAACAAAATAGGCAGACTGACTGAAATACACTGCTGAGAGGAGCAGCAGGCAATACAGGAGAGGGTCTGCTGCACCATGTGGGTGGCTCCCTGGCTGGCCAGGGGTTGAACTCCTGCAGCAGGAGCTGCGGATAGCCTTGCAGTGCTGTGCTTAACCCCTTGCCCCACCAGGAAGGCCCTAAAATTGTTTTTTGTTTAAGTGCATTGTGTTAATAATGTTGAGGTGAGCATCAGCTTGGAGGAGGGAGCAGAGCCAGTAACCATAAAGAACCCCAAAACCAGCATTTCTCATGTCAGTCAATGTACACCTTTCAGGGAGGCTGGAAGGAACTGAGACTGGCAGACATTGACCATATGGAGCTACTTATCCTGATCCCCAAACCTTGGACAGCTTGTCTGCCTGAATCAGACGTGTTCATCAGTCAGTTTCAATTATGACTCTCTTGTCAGTCTTCCCCTAGTTTTTGAATGGTGGTTAATTTTCATAGACCTGTCCGGTGTCTCCTTCCTGACTATTCTCTAACTTTCTCTGCATTAGGCATGTTTTCCATATTTGCAATATTCCTGCATTCTCAATGGACCGTTTTTGTTCAGGTATTTTCCTCAGCCATTTGTTTATTCTTTCAGCACGTTCATGGGAAGTGTTAGACGCTGGTAAATTTTGTATTTGTGAAATACTATAATCAAAGAAATGTTCTGTGCTTTATTGAAATTATGTTCTGTGAGGAAGGAAAATGCAATAAATAAGTATATCAAATTGTGAGATAAAGCCACACAGAATGTTTAGCGAGGATGAGAGAAAACTATGGAGGTTATTTCAGAGTGCGTGCTTTCAAGGCTTAGTTATGGAGATGGAGTCTTCTCATTGTCGAGCTCTAGTTTGAGAATAATTGCATTTTGACATGCACTGTATATAGTTATATAATCTATCTGGGTTAGAGGTTGTGCCTGTCTGTTGAAGGTGTATTTATTTAACAGCTGATGAACTCAAA